CATTTTATTTATTTACCTTGTGTATATGAGTGTGGGCACAGGTGTGGAGGTTTGAGACCAGGTCAGTTCTCTCCTGCCTCTTGGATCCTGGTATGGAACACAGTTAGGCTTGGGAGCTAGAGCTTTTACACACTGAGCCATGGGGTCAGAAAGATGAGAAAAATATATGTGATTATATGTGGTCATTTGAACGAGAATAGCCCCCATAGGCTCCTTTATTTCCATGTTCGATCCTCAGTTGGTGGAATTGTTTGGGAAGGATTAGGAGGTGTGGCCTTTTTGAAGGAGGTATGTCACAGGATATGTGGTTTTGAGGTTTCAAAAGTCCCAGCAATTCCCAGTTCATTCTTTCTGCCTCCAGCTGGTGAGTTGTGGATGTGAGCTCTCAATCACTGCTCCGGCACTAAAGCCTGCCTGCTCCCCACCATGACGGTCAACTCACTCTGCCCCTCTGAAATCAAACCGTAAGCCCCAAATTAAACACCTTTATAAACTGCCTCAGTTGAAAGGTTTCTATTGCTGAGATGAAACACCAGGCCCCAAAATGCAAGTTTTGAGAGAAAAGGTTTTATTTGGCATGTACTTCATCACCAAAGGAAGTCAGAATGGGGACTCAAGCAGGGTGGAACCTGGAGACAAGAGCTGATGCAGAGGCCATGGAGGGGTACTGCCTATTGGCTTGCTTGGCCCACCTTTTTACAGACCGCAGGACCACCAGCCCAGGGATGGCACCTCCCACAGTAGGCTGGCTCTCCCACGTTGATCACTGGTTGAGAAAATGCCTTACAGCTGCATCTCATGGAGGCGTTTCCTCAGCTGAGGCTCCTTCCTCTCTGATGACTCCAGCTTGTGTCAAGTTGACACACAAAAACCTGTCAGTACTGTCACAGTTTTATCATAGCAATAAAAAAGGAACAAAGACAATAATTTTTGTTGTTGTTTTTTGAGACTGGGTTTCTCTGTGTAGCTCAGGCTGTGCTGGAACAGACCAGGCTGGCCTCAAATTCATTTCGATACACCTGCCTCTGCCTCCCTGAGTGCTGGGATCAAAGGCGTGCACCTCCACACCCGGCTTTTATTTTTGTTTTTTCAAAAAGAGGTTTCTCTGTGCAGCTCTGGCTGTCCTGGAACTTGCTCTTTGTAGACCAGGCTGGCCTCGAACTCAGAGAGATCTACCTGCCTCTGCCTCCTACATGCTGGGATTACTGTTAGGATTGTGCAGCAAAGTTACACGGTGGGCTCACCCGTGCACAGAGACCTCTGAGGAATGAGAGACAGAGACAGGGAAGAAGTGCTGTGAGGTCTCATATAAGGTGACACAGAGCATGCACAGGTGGTTTCAGGTGATCTGCAGGTGGTCCATAGGTGGCCTCACGGATGCCTGGTATCTGGTTTGTCAGGTCCCTTGGGTCTGGCCGTAGAGATGCCTGCTTACAGATCCCAACAATTACAGTGTGTATCACTGCACCGGCCGAATATATATTTAATTAAAACAAAAAGAGGGCTGTGATCTAGCCTAGTGGTTAGGGCTCTTGCCTAATGTGTGCAATATCCTAGGTTATAAAAAAAAATATCCTAGTGTTATAAAAAAATAAAACAAAAAATCTAGAACTGCACTTTGAAAAAAATCAAGAGGTAGAAGCTATTAAACTTCTCTTTTAAAAATATATAAGTTTTTGTTATTTGTTTTTTGAGACAGGGTTTCTCTGTGTAGCCCTGGCTGTCCTGGATCCTCTTTGTAGACCAGCCTGGCCTCGAACTCAGATCTTTACCTGCCTTTGCCTAGGATTAAAGGCTTGAGCTCTGCGTGTGCGCTACAGCATTCACACACATGAATGCACGCATGCACGCACTATACACACACAAGAAAGAAATGAACGCGAATGGCATACAGGTTAATATGGACTCAAAGTACACTATAAAGAAACAAACAGCTGGGTGGAGATGGCACATACACTTTTGATCCCAGCGCTCAGGAGGCAGAGGCAGGCGGATCCACAAAGTGAGTTCCAGCACTACACAGAGAAACACTGTTTTGAAAAAAAAAAAATGTATATAATATATGTATTTAAAGACGTGTTTATTTTTATTACTTTATGTGTACAGCGTTCTGTTGCATGTACATCTGGGTACCACATACCTGCAGTGGATCCCTCGTGACTAGGGTTATTGACCAACATGTGGGGCTCAGGGAATAGAACCCCAGTCCTCTAGAAGAGCTGCAAGTGATCTTAACCACTGAGCCATCTCTCTGGCCCAAACTTCCCTCAATCTGAAGTATCAAATTATTGACGAGCCTTCTCAACAGCTTACCCTCTTATAATCATTCATATAATCAAGGTCTTATGTATGTGTTGTTCATTTGTTTACTGAAGTTGGCTGTTGCCTGCTTATAGCCATTCTGAAACTTTCTGTGGCAAATTTTTCTTCCTGTTTCTCCCCCACCCCCAACTGGGGTGGAGGGTGTGAAGTTAGCTTAGGATAGCTAGCCTCAAACTCACTATGTGCCTTTGGGTGACCTTGAACTCCTGATTCTCTGGCCTCCACATCCTGAGTATGTACAAAGTGCCAGGATTACAGACATGCACCATGCTACCACAACAGATTTTGTTAGTTTTCTTTTTTTCTGGGAGAGAGGAGAGAGGAAACAGTGCCTCTTGTAGCCTAGGCTGGCCCCAAACTCACCCTGTAGCTATGGGTGACCTTGAACTGATTCTCTGCCTCCAGTTCTAAGGGGCTGGGGTTACAGGCATGTCACTTCCCACTTGACCTTTTCTCCTGATGTTTTAGTCAGTGTGTATGGTCTCTAGCACCACACCAAACCATGCTTTCTGTAGCACTCTTGTAATATCCCCTGGGGTCCTCCTCCTTTCCATGGCTGGATGCTAGTTGGGAGGCCTGATATTAAAAATTAAATATCAAGCCATATGAGGTAATTAATTCACACGGGAGCAGAAGCAGGTAGAGCTCTGTGAACTTGAGGCCAGTCTGGTCTACAAAGCCAGTTCCAGGACAGCCCTGAGCTGTTACTCAGAGAGGCTCTGACTCAAACAAACAAAGGAATGAATGAATGAATGAATGAATGAATGAACGAATAAATAAATAACATACTGAATATGTTGATGGTGGGGCATGCCTTTAATCCCAGCACTCCTGAGGCAGAGGCAAGCAGATGTCTAAGTTCAAGGCCAGCCTGGTCTACAGTGTTCCAGAGAACTATCAAAGCTACATTGAGAAATTCTGTCTCTAAAAACCAACAAAAAAAAAAAAAAAAGAAAGAAATCGATTATTTGATCCATCAATCTTAAAACACACCTCCCTTAGCTGGGCACAGTGGCACACGCCTGTGATTCCAGCACTGAGGAGTCAGAGGCAGGTGGCTGTGAGTCTAGGATAGCCAAGGCTACTCAGAGAAACCCTGTCTTGAAAACCCAAAAGAAAAAAACAAAACATCTACCTTCACACTTCACATTTTAGCTAAGAGACATCACTTTGGGGATTCAGGAATACTGGAAGGAGGCCTCCTGTTTGTGTCACTTAGAACAGAAACAGCTGATTGCTTTCTAGTGTCACTCCAGAAGACTCTTTGCTGCTTAGAGTAAATCAGGGTATTTGGCTAAATGGTAATATCTTGAGCTTGGGCCCTCACTGGGATCTCCTGATATTTAAAGAGCCTTTACAATTTCCAAGATACAGTAGCCTGTGTTTTCTGTCACTACTTACCTGATTTCATTCTTTCCAGCAACTCCAGGAAATGAACATTAATTATTTCAGTTACTAAGATGTCAGAATTAAAGGTGGGGCATCTGGCCAGACAGGTTCTCTCCGGGAGGCAGTATGTAAGAAAGATAGTGGGAATCTGCTTGTGATCCAAGAAGCTGGGGAGGTGGTGGCAGGAGGATTCAGGTTTCAAGGTTATCCTAAGCTATTCAGCAAGTGCGAGACCAGCCTGGGTTACATGAAACCTTGTCTGAGAGCAAGAGAGGCGGAGACAAAGACAGAGAAGATCCTGAGGGACCCTGCTCCTCTTAACCAGGCCAGGCACAGAAAACCCAACCAGAAGCCTTGGCTGTAAATTCTGGCTTTGTTATGATAAGGTGCTGTCAGTTCCTGGCACACACACACACACAAAAAGACTACACAAGAACGTGCATCTTCCCAGGCATGATGGCTAATGCTTATCATCCCAGCTGAGGCAGGAAGATCTTGAGAGTTCAAGGCCAGCCCAAGACCCATGGTAAAACCTGGTTTCAAAAGACTCAAGCAGGGCTGGTGAGAAGGCTGAGCAGATAAGGATAAATGCAGCCAAACCTGAAGAACCACTTGGTAGAAGACAATGCATGTACCTACCCTGACAAAATAAATAAACAATGCTAGAATAAAACAAAGGGTAACTGTAGCTTTTTAAAACAGAAACAATAGCAAAAAAAAAAAAAAAAAAAAAAAGCTTATCAGAGCAATATTTTCTCTTTCTTTTCTCCCCCCACCCCCAAGGTTTTCTTTGTGTACTGTGGTCCTAGAACTCAGTCTGTAGACCAGGCTGGCAGCAAACTCACGGAGATCTGTCTGACTCTGCCTCCGGAGTGCTGGGATTAGAGATGTGCACCACCACTGCCCGGCTTCATACCAGTTTCGTAACACTGAAAATCTCCATATAGCTGGGCTCGGTGGTGTGCTCAAGTAATCCCAGCACTCAGGAGGCAGAGGCAGGCAGATCTTTGTGAGTTTGAGTTCAGGAGAGCCAAAGCTACACAGAGAAACCCTGTCTCAAAACACAGAAAAAAAAAAAAAAGAAAGAAAAAGAAAAGAAAATCTACATATATCCCATCAGTCCAGCAATTTGTATTCATACAGACCATGAATAGTATAATTTGATGCTGTAATAGTGAATGATACCGTGGGTGTTTACAGACAGGAAAAGACATTTGTGAAACATTACTGGTTGCCACTCAGTAGTTAAGGTGATGCAATTTTGTTAAATTTATTTTAAAAATCACATCTACTGTATCGTAATTTTATTTATTTATTTATTTATATGTGTACATTGTATATGCACTTGTTCTCTTTGGGGCGTGTATGTTGAAGCTAATTGTTTTCCTCTATAGTTCTCGACTTTTTACGGGGTTCATGTGTGAGTCACCCGCACGGAAGAGCTTCCAGAAGCCAGAAGAGGAAGGCATTTGATCCGATTCCCTGGGGCTGGAGTTGCAGGTGGTTGTGAGCTGTCAGATGTGGGTGCTGGAAATCAAACTTGGGTCCTCTACAAAACAGGAAGTCCCCTCAATGGCCGAGCCACCATTCCAGGCTAACATTTATATACATGTATATGTGTGTGTGTGTGTGTGTGTGTGTGTGTGTGTGTGTGTGTTTGTGTAGTGCCAATTATTTAATAATATTTATGTTGTATTATATGCAGCTACATGTAACTACTCGGAGAAGAAACGCCCATGGCTATACACTAAAGCATAATGTCGCTCTGTGGGGTTTTTAGTTCTAAAGTTGATTTTCAACTTTTTCACAATGTACTTGTGCTATGAAGGAAGAAAAAGTCAGGTTTGAGGTGGGGTATACCTATTAACCTAGCACTTGGGACAGGAAGTCAGGAGGATCAGGAGTTCAAGGTCGGCTCCACAGACCAGAGAAGAACCTGTAGGCAGGAAGGAAGAGGCAGTCTGCAGGCATTGACTTGGCATGCAGGAGGCCTTAGGTTCCATTCCCAGTACTTTGATAAAAACTACAGTATAGAAGTGCAGGATATCCACAATGGACCGAGTGGAACTCGGTGTCTGCCCGGATCCTTGGATCCACGGGGCATTTTGCTGCCGTGGCGTTCATCTTCCATGTGCCTGGAGAATCAGGACCCTCATAAAAGACTAGGAGTCTTGGAGACATTTAGCTGAACTCTGGAAAACTCAAGAATTTCTTCCCACCCTGTATGAGTTGGAATTCGTTTCTCCCCTGTTCCTGGGAGCCTTTGCCGATTTCACAGGGCCCATCCTCCAGATTCCTCTTAGCTCCCCAGGCAGGCTGGAACCCCAGCAATCAGGCCGTCATGCTCCTGGGATGACGTCCTGGCCATCTTGGTCAGATGTGGGAGTCCCCCATTCCAGCCACCCACTGGGACACAAGGCATCTTTGAGGGAATGTTTCTGTCACAGCTGGCTCCTCGCCTTGGTAGTCTGTGAGTCATTCTGGTCTCAACCCATCCTCTCATTTCTAGATTGTAAGGGCACCTCCCTGGCACTCCCTCATTTTATAGTAATAACGAATAAAAGCTACCATGTACTGCTGGTGCTCATGCGTCAAATGGCACAAAAGGTATGGGCTCTTTCGGGCCTCGCTGTGCACCCGGAAGCAGGTATTTGCATCTCTGTCATAGAGATGAGATCGGTGGTTGACTCAGCCGCAGATGTACATCACGTGAGCCTGGGCATCTGAACACAAGACAATCCACAACCCACGGGTCTGCCCTGCCCCTCAGCCCCACCTCACACACTTTTATCCGCTCACTACCATATTTTGAAACAGGGCCTCCCTCTGTAGCTGGAGCTGGCTTTGAACTTAGGTTTTTATGTTGGTGGCTCACAGACGCTAGATTAGGTCCTCTGCCTCTGAGCTGCACCCCAAGCCCTTTCTCACATTTTATTTGGGGACATGGTCTCCATATCTTGCCCAGACTGGCCTTCAACTTTTGATCCTTCTGCCTCAATCTCCCAAGTGGCTAGAATTACAGCTCTTTAATTTACTTATTTTGATTCCCTCTCTCTCTCTCTTTTTTTTTTTTTTTTTTTTTTTAGCAGGGACTTGCTATGCAGACCAGGCTGGTCTCAAACTCACAAGACTCACCTGATTGCGTCCCACGGCGTTGGGGTTAAAGGTATGTAGCATCGCACCCAACTTCGACTACCTCTATTTTCATAAGGCAGGAAACTGGGTCTAAGTTATTTACTGGACACGGTTAGTCACTTCAGTTCAGGAAGCTGGCAAGTGAAAGGGAATAACTTTGAATACTATTTCCCTGACACTAGCCCTGTCCCCCGCCTGTGCCCCCAAACCCTCATTCCCTAGCATGTAATCTATATTGTTGCAAGTGCTTGAATTTTTTTTTTTTTTTTTCTGACAGGACTTCTCTATATTACCATGGCTGGCTTGGGACACCTTGCCTCTGCCTATTTCCCCAGAGCTGGGATTAAAGGCTTGTACCCACTAGGCCTGACTGTTAGAACTCATCAGCTCCTTAAACTTAGAAAAAGAGTCCCTTCTTGCCCTGCAGACAAATCGTTCCCTCCCACGCTTTTTTCTTATGGTTTTGAGATAGTGTCTCTCTGGGTATTCTTTGCTATGTAGTCGAGGCTAGACTTAACACTCACAAGGATCTGCCTTGCCTCTGCCACCCAAGTGCTGGGACTGAAGGCCTGTGCCACTACAGCTGCCTCCCTCCCACGATCTTGTTTGCTTTGTGTAGCCCTGGCTGCCTGGAATTCTCTCTCTAGATCAGACTGTCCTTGAACTCAGAGATGTTCCTGCCTCTGCTGGGATTAAAGGTGTGCACCACCACCACCCGGCCCCTCCCACATCCCTCCCACATCCTCCCGTTCTCCAACCCCCCACGCCCCCCTTTTTTTTTTTTTTTTTTTTTTGAGACAGGGTTTCTCTGTATAATTACCCTGGCTGTCCAGAACTTGCTTTGTAGATCCGCCTGCCTCTGCCTCCCAAGTGCTGGGACCAACTCCCCCTTTTTGAGAAGGGGATCTCAGTAGCCTAGCCTGGATCTGGCTTCATTACTTCGGCCGGCCTTGATCCTCTTTCTGATCTTCCTGTCTCTGCCTCCCAGACTGAGACTACAATCAAGAGCTACTGTGCCTCCCTCCTTTTAGTTTTGTTGCGACAAGGTTTTGCTACAATGGTCCTGGCTATCATGGTATTCAATATGACGCCTATGCTGGTCTGAAATGCTTGACAGTCCTTCTCCCTCAGCTTCCGAAGTGCTGGCACAAGTATGCACCGTGATGCCTGGTGCACAGGCCTAGCTCTCTCTGGCTCCTTCTACCAGTTTGCAAAGCCAGAATGAGGTGGTACTTAGCACCAGGCTAGGGAGCAGGCAAGTAGCACACGGTTGTTGAATGAATACTTGACTCCGGGAGATGACTTTGTCGTTTTTGAGGGGGTATGGCTTGGGTGTTCTGAAGAGGGGCAGGTGATGACAGAAAGTGGCTTCTGCATTCCCTATTCAGGGTGCCCTGGGGAGTCGATGGGGTCTGAGGCTGAAATCATGGGGTCCTTCTTGCTGAACCAAACTCTCTGGCTTCTGTTTTCTCACTCCTTGCCAGAAATAAATCATGTTCTGAGTGACTGGAGTCATTGCTCACAGCTCGGTGAGCTGGTGTAGGGTGGGGCGAGGGGCAGTGGCCTTGGGGCTCCTGTCAGTAAAGGCCCAGGCCTTTGGGCTGGGGGGAGGGGCAGGAGTGGCGATCCTATCCCTGGGAGGCTGCAGTCATTGGGGGAGAGACAATGGGGCTCAGCATCTGCTCCTCGCTGGGAGAAGGGACCCTCCAGTGAAAAGCCAGGGAGAGCAGGGAAGTGTGGGAGGAATTGATGAGAAGGGGTGGAGCCAAGGAGATGCAGCCCGGAGGAAGGAGGGAAGGGGAAGGAAGAGCGCAGGGAGAGGAGAGGATCCAGGCTTCTCTTCTGCTCGGTGACCTGGTCCGGAGCCGCAGCTTCCCTCGCTTTGTCTGGGCCCGCCGAGACCTCACGTTTCTCGCCCAGCTGCAGCTCCAGTCCAAGGGCCAGGCATCCAGCAGGTGCTCAATACTTACTTGGGAAAATCAGAAATGTGGCCAACTTTGCTCTGGGAACTTTTCCCCCGTGTTGTCTCCAGTCCTCCGGAGAAGCCGAGGACAGAGCTGGTCTTGGGAGCACGCCCAGGCGCCCCATGAATAATTGACCCTTGGTGGCGACACTGCCCGGCTCTGTCCGCGGGCTCGGTACCCGCCCTGCGTCGGAGTCGAGCTGCGCAGATCTTGAGTGGCGGGTGTCCGGGAGGTTGGAGGCGGGGTGTCCGGCCTGTCCCAGAGCTGGGAGGAGGCCAAGCTACGCCGAACCCCAGGCCCTACGGGGAGCCACAAGGGTCCAGACCTCAGCGAACGACCACGCCTCGGCGCCCCCCAGCCGTGCACCCCGGGACCCGAACCTAGACCCTGGGTTTGGGGAGGCCGCGAGGGGCCCAAACTCCTCTGAACCCCTTCGCACTCGGCGATCACAGCCGGAGCTGCTCCCTCGAGTCTGACCGTCCAGGGCTCTGCGAACAGCTGTTTAAAAGCTCTTACTGTTCAGGGCTCTGCGGCAACGTTTGCTCCAAGCCCCATCTACCCACTTAAAAATATATATTAAGCGAAGGCACCCCCAGCTTTCACCACTGGTTGGGGAGGGGGCGGACTCAGTCCTACCCGTATTTCAGAAGAAATGGGCACCCAGAGGCTCCCCCGAACCTCCACCCCCAGTGGCTCTTCTTTGGGATAGGGCACCCCAGACTTCCTGTGGGGGGCTGTTCTCTCGGGCCCCCTTTGTGCCTGGCAGGGACAGCCCCCCATTTCCATGCGAGGTTCTGACGCTCCCTTCTCCCCCGCTTGTTAATCTTTGTTCCCCTTTTCTGCCGAGAGGAGGGGAAAAAAAAAGAGGGAGAGGGAGAAAGAAAAGAAGGAAAAAGGCGTGACTCGATTTTCAAACGAAACTCCCACAGCAAACAAAACCCTTTTAGAGAAATAAGAAAGGAGGAAGGAGGAAGAAAAGAGGGAAGGGGAAGAAGAAAAAAAAAAAAAGAGAAGCCTCCAGGCTTGCAATTCGAGTAAGAGAGTTGCACCAAGAGAAAGAGAAAGAAAAGAAGAAAAATCCTCTCTGCGGTAGAAAGAGAAAAAGAAAACTTGGGCCGACAAGAGGGGGGTGCTGGGGGGGTGGAAGGAAGTGAGAAAACAAAAGAGAGATAAAAGGGCTGCTTTTCTGTCTCTCTTCCTCTGCGAGCTGGCTTAGGAGGAGCTGTTTAGCATCCCTTCACGTCAGCCCTGCCTCATTCCCTTCTTCCAGGGAGGGAGAGAGCGCGAGCGAGAGAGCGAGCGAGCGAGCGCGAGAGAGAGCAGGAGGGAGAGAGAGAGAGAGAGAGAGAAAGAGAGGAACCGGAGGGAGGGTGGCAGAGCAGGGCGGGCGCGCGTGGAGGCGGCGCGCAGCAGCAACCCCGGCGGTGGGCAGCAGGAGCCCCCGGCCCGCCCGGCCCCGGCCAGCCGAGGGCCCCCAGCGCGAGGAGCCGCGCCCGGACCCAGGGTGAGTGTGTCCCGCGCGGCCCGCGGCCCCGCCAGCCCCCGGGCGGCCCGCGGCGGGGTGGCTGGGGGGCGCGGGGGTGGGTCGCTGCGGCCGCGGTCGACCCGCCCCCCGCCTCTCCCCGGGGACGGCGGCGCGCAGGCCCGCAGCCGCGCTGCAAACATGTCGTCTTTTCCTTTCACTTCCACATTCCCTCATGCCGGAGAGCTGGAGCGAGAGAGAGAGAGAGAGAGAGAGAGAGGGAGAGCGGGGGGGGGGAAAAGGGGGAGAGATGGCGGCTGGAGGGGGGGAGGGAGAGGGGGAAGGGAAGAAGAGAGAGAGGGTGAGAGGGAGGAGAGCGCGCGGGGAGAGAGAGAGAGGAAAGGAGAGGGAGAGAGAGAGAGAGGGAGAGAGAGAAGCACAGGCAAAGGCAAAATGAAAGGAAAGCGCGGCGGCGCGGGAGGCCGGGGAGGCGGCGGCGGCGGCGGTCGTCTCCGGCCCGCACGTGGGTGTCCCGGCGCTCGGGGACGCTCCCCCCGCACCCGGCCCGGGACACAAAGTTTCACCCCTCGCCGCCCCGCCCCTGCGGCTGCCCACAAACTTTTTACTCCGGGAGCGGGTGGGGTGGCCGCGCGGCCGGGCCGGCGGGGTGGCGAGGGCGCAGCGCGCAGCCGGGGTGCCCGGACGCCCCCTCGGGGGCGGCCGGGGGAGCGTCTCCAGCCGGGCGCCGCGGGGTCCGGGCTCCCCTCGGTGGCCCCGGCTCCGACCTGTTGAAGGCGCTCGCCCGTTGCAGGCAATGGGGTGGGCAGATCCCCCACGGCCGGTCTCGAGCCTCCCGCGGCTCGGCCTCGCTTCCTCGCCGCCCCCCTCTCCCTCTCCTCGGCGGTCATTTTCCTAATTGGACGGAGCTGTGGGGCGTGATCGTCGGCGTCAGATCGAGGAGCCCCCCCCCCCCCCCCATCGGGTGGTCTTCTTTCCCCGACTCTCAGACCCCACCGAGCCGGCCTCGCTGCCACCCCCACCCCTAGCTGCGGACTTGCTAACTCGTGCGTAGCGGCTTATTGGTTTTCTTTCTTTTCTTTTCTTTTTTCCTTCTGCTTGCCTTTTAAGATGACTTTTATGGTCCCTGCAACTGCTTCCCTCCCGTCTAAACTGTAGTTTGGGAAGATTTAAGAGGCCAGGGAGGTGCTTGTGTGGGCTTTAACTAATCCAAAACGATCATTAATGTATCTCTACGCCCTGCGAGATGGTTCCGGCCAGGCCAGGCAGTAGCCTGGGTGTGTTTTCACCCGGACACTGCAGAGTTCCTTCACGGTCTCAGCGGCCAACCTGCCAGTGAGGGGACACTTGACCTGCGGGCCCAGTGCCCTGTCTTCGAAGGGCACCCTGAGCGCCTTTCTTTCCGTTCACAATGGAAACTCTTCGCCACTGTCCACCTCAAGACGTAACTAGTCCCCGGGGTTATCTCGGAAGCTTACAGGACTCCCCCACAGGTGTGTGGAGGACTTTGTGCTGGTGGGGGTCATCCAGCCAGCTTTGACCGCTGCCCTCTCAGCCTTGCCTTTGTACATGTGTAAGTAAAAACAAAGTTCATTTCTGCCAAAGAGAAGAGCTGCTGTGTGGGAACAGGATGGGGGAGGGCATGCCTCACCTTCCTAGGGACCTTCAAAGAGCTAGGGAGCTGGTGTGGGAGGCGGGGGGGGGGGGGGGGGGGGGGGGGGGGGGGGGGGAGAAATGGTCCTTAACAGTCTTCAGATATAAGTGGGTTTTCATCAAAGCTCATGGGCCTGTCTCCTTTTGATTTGGGGAAGTAGAATGAGCATCACCTTTTCACTTGTTTTAAAGCAAATTTTTACCCTTTGAGACCTTTTGCTCAGTGGTTTTGTCTGCTCTCCTCTCCTACCACAAGTAACTGTGTGCCAGGCACCTGCTGTTCTTGGAGCACAACCTTGACTTGATGATCACTTACAGTCCCAGCCACCTTGCAGAGCTGGCTTTGCTGCCTGAGGAAACTGGCTTTGGGGTAGGGGGAATGGACAACCTGGTCTGGTTTCCTGCATGACCATGTGCCAAGAGTTTTAGTGAGTTGACACGGGGACAGACTGACGTCTAGAGTGTCTTGGTTATCTTCTCCAGGCTGTTCTGAGTTGACCCTTGGTCTCATGCTGTATGAGGCATTTGTTTTGTGCTCGGGTCAGTTCTGTCACAACCAGGCATTTTATTTTAGGCTCCCTGTCTAGAGACAAGGAGCCAGGCAAGGTCTAGAATATCTTTTGGGTTGGAGGAAAGTAATGGGGTCACCAGGGATTTTGTATAGCTTCTAGTTTAGGTTTGTGGCCTAGAGGTATTTCTAACAAGCCTTCTCTTGGGAAGAACTATTTCCTTCTCTTTTGAGAAAGTGTCTCACTACCTAGCCCAGACTGGCTTTGAACTGGTGATCCTCCTGTCTCAAGCTCCGAAGTGCTGAGATTACAGGCTGTGCCACCATGCCTGTCTCTAGAATATCTCTTTTCTAGAAGGGAATAGTTACCTTGTGGGGCTTGACCCCTTTGGGGGTTGCATATCAGCTGTGGTACATATCAGTTAGTTCCATTACACTCACAACAGTAGCAAAATGACAGTTCTGAAGTAGCGATAAAATAATTTTATGGTTGGGGGAGTCACCACAGCATGAGGAATTGTGTTAAAAGGGTCGCAGCCTTAGGAAGGTTGAATAGTAGAAAACTAAAAGGAAGAAAACCTAAAGGAAACCCTGGAGCCGCCCACCACTCCCCAACGACCAGTGTTGATGTTTGGTGGTTCCTCCTTTGGCGTGGTCACCCACTGATCCCTCCTACCTTACCAGCTCTTGGCCTCAAGGAAATTCCTCAGTTTGCAGAAGGAAGGATTCAGAATCTGCAAGGTCTCTGTGAAGGACGTGTGAACCATTCCTTCGGCCTCAGAACCGGGAGACCTTTGAGAGGTTGTTTAAAAATAACTGAGGCAGGAGTCCCCCATTGACCTCATGGTCAGTCATGGGGCAGTCACTCAATTCTGGGCCCCCGGGACTCTGTTTCCAGTACTCCTTCCACAAGGCCACCACCTTGACTGTTGCTAGGGCTTCCCAGCCACACATAGTTCAGACAGCATGGCTGTGAGGACATGACACCATGGGCTGGTGGTGCATGTACAGGCTGAGGGAACATTGCCTTATTTTCTAGCTATGCCGGAGATGCTGCTCTGGAGGACTGGGCAGGCCAGGGCAATTATTGGGAGAGCTTGCTGCTATTTTAACACTGACTTCTTTAAAGTCTAGCAGTTCGGCAGGGTAGAAGTTTAGTCATCAGGATGTTCCTAAATTACTGGGTTTTGATCTGGAATACTTTCTTCATACTTTGTACTTGTGTGTGGTTTATTTAGTGTTGGCCAGAGGGGAAGAATGGGGACAGAAGGAAGGGCCTTAGCTAGCTGATCTCCATCCCCAGGGTAGAGCTCCTAGAATGTTTAGTGCGGCAGAGATCTTGGCTCTATATGGATTTCCCCCCACCATCGTGTCTGCTTATTTACTGCTTATTTGCTTTGTCCATTGCCAAGCCCTTGTGAGACTAATACATAGTTGGCCTTTCATGAGTACTTGTTGAATGATGTACTGGACATTAGGAAAAGCACTTCCCTCCCAGGAGGAGCTCAGAAATGACACACAGAGGCAGGGACAGGGAGGTGATTGATGGGAGCTGCAGAGTTGTGCTGTGATTCATTGTTTCAAACAGGCTCCAGACAGGTAAGGCGGGAGGGGGTTGGGAAAGAGTGGATCCTGAGTGGGTGGAGCCACAGGGTGGAGACTTTCTGCAAAACAATGGAGAGGTTTTGAATTGGACTCAGACGCTGGGAGAATAATATGACCCCTGGTTCTGGGCCAGGATTAGCCTAAAGTGTATGTATCATCTCCCGTGGTCCTTGCAGGCGCTGGCAGACACATTGCCGTTCTCATTTGGTAAGCCTGGGAAACAGCACAGAGGAGTTAAATCGCTTGTCCCGGGACATAGCCGGTGTCTGAACCCAGGCAGATGGACTTCGCTTCCCTAGAATAATGACGTAGTCAGGTCTCTGAGTCTTCAGCCTTTGGGTCCTCCTCAAAGGATAGTGGGGGAGAAGCTGAAACAGGAACTGTCAGGCTGCAGCAGAATGAGGGGCCTCACACTGCCAGGTGGTTCAGCCAGTGAGGACTGAAAGGAGATGCTTATTTTCCAGGGCAGTACCAGAGCAGGACTGTTTTTCTACTTGACAAGAATTTAGGATGCTTGTGCACCCATATGAACACAGGTGTTGCTGGGAGTCGAATCCAGGGTTTTACTCATGTGCATTACCACTGAGCTACACTCCTGCCCCACTGGAATATATTTAAACTGGTGGGAATTTTAAAGTTAAGGAACGTACTGTTGAAGGCTGGAGAAAAGGCCCAGGCGGTAAAGTGAATTCAATGATCAGCACCCACATGAAAGCTATGGTAGCACACACTTGTAACTCCAGAATTGGAGCGAAAGAGACGGGGATTTCTGGGGCCGTCTGGCCAGGCGACTTTATCTCAGAAACAAAGTGGATGATGCCCGAAGAGTGACACTCTGACCTCCACCGGCATGCAAACGTGTATGTGTGCCCATGCACACGGGTGCGCACACGCACAGAGGTCACCATTGGTCCCGAGGTCTCCAGCAGGTGTCCCGTAGGTGTTGAAGTCCAGCCTGCTAGTCCAGTCAAGGGCTGCTCATACAGCTGCTTGCTTATGGGCAGCCTGGAGCGTCCTAGGCGCTATGCTGTCCCGTCCTCCTGGAGCTTGCAGTCTGTCTGGGAGACAGACATTAAACGAATAATTACACAAATGCTCTTTAATTACAGTTGTTATATAATGCTTCAAAGGAAGAAGTTCAGAGGCATAGGAGCCAATAATTAGGGAGGGAGGAGCAAAGGGACAGTTCCTGAAGAAAAGGGTATTTGAAACAGAAGGAGGAGGACTCTAGCCAGGGTGGTATACTTTGTTATTGTTT